CGTTCGCACCTCTCTCCCTCCTTCTCCTCCCTTACGATCGTTTCTTTCTGTGTTTCAGAACTACGTTCGAACACGAAGGAAAAGGGGGAAGAAGACGAAGACGCGAGGAAGGCGAACGATGGATGAAAGAGAGGCGAATCGCGTCTCCTCCCCCTCCGTGCACCCAGAATCGTCTCGTACACCCCTTCTCCCTCCCTCCCTCACCCTTCCCCTCCTCACGCTTCTCGCAGTGACCGAAGATACCTCGACGGTATATACACCTCGAAGGCGGCCAAGGGGGATATAATGGCTCGGCCGGACTTCACACGATGCCGACCGGTACGTCGGCCCCGAGGATGATACGGACCACGGTCTGGATGGAGAGAGGGAGAGAGAAAGAGAGAGGGGGGAGAGAGAGAGGGAGAGGGAGAGAGAGACGAAACAACGCCAGACCTCCGGGGGAGGACTTTGAATCGCGGAAGGAGCTGCCTCTTCCATCCTTATTCTCCATCCTCTCCTCCGAATGAACCGACCCCTCGGCTTCGACCCGTCGTCTCGCCGACCAACGTCACGGTTTCACGTCTTCCCTCCAACCGAAGCAAAACTTGGAACGAAATCCAGGAAATGCGAGAGAGTACGAATTCTCGCGCGATTAGAAGATCGCGTGTGCGTCCGTCCCGCGACGGAACCCAGAAATAGGTGGCAGGAAAGAGGTCGAAGAAGGAGGAGGAGAGGAGGAGAAGAAAAGGAGGAGCAGAAGGAGGAAGAGGAGGAGGAGGGGAGAGTGGTTGGAGAAGCTCGAGAGGAAGATTAGGGTACTGGAAGGCGTTGGAGAGGAGTCGACGGTGGGGCCCCTCGTGCAGAAGAGTCGGAGGGTGGGCACCGTTAGCCGGTTTTGTACGAGGAGCCCTCGCCGCTGTCAGCCCGCGGGGGCCTTATTTCAAGACCGTACCGAATCAGGCACGACAATCGCTCTAATATCCACACGAATGCCATGCCGGAGGCCCCCGTGGCCCAACAGGCCCCCCTGCTTCTCTCCTCCTC